TTTCGTTTTTCTTTGTTTTCCTTTTTCTTTTTTTTTTTGGTTTTTACTAAACTAGAAACTGAATTTTCACACACACACACACACACACACATACACACACACACACACCAAAAATATCCATTAGATATTTAATTATAATTTTTCTTTTTTTTAAAAAGAAAAAAAGAACAAATTTAAGTTAAAATTCATAATTCACTTTGATTTATCCATTAAACGAAGTAATTGTCTAACACTATGAATTTATATGTTTTATTATAGCCATATTATAGTGGACTCGAACAAGCAAGTGGAGACAGTCGTCTGTATTTGAATACAACATTATAGAATATCTCGGTAAAATAGGTCATTAACAAAATGTCAATCAATTGTCTATGACTTCATTGTTCCATTTTTTTTTCTCTGATCTTTTTAACTTTCTGCTGTTAGACATTTCACTTTTGATGTGTGATACACACATTACTTATATCTATCGACATTAGTAGGATACACTAACTCCGCCTGTAGCTCTTTTAAAGTTACTGCCGGTCCGAAGCGCGGGTAAAAGAAGGAGGATTGGGCATAGGGTTAGCGTCCTCATCCCGTAAAAAAAAACACTAACCAGAAAAAAAAATTAATTCAAACCATTTAAACTCTGCCATGGGAGTTAGAAGGTTTTCATTTAGAAGAAATATGACGCCTCATGGTGAAAGTCGAGTTCCTTTGGAAGCCACAAGACTGATACTCATTCTAACAACCAGAGCAACAATTTTTTTGTATAGATACATGGAATGTCTGGACAATATGGGAAACTGGAAAGATCAGTCAAATAACAATGGAAATGAAGAGATACAAATTAGCAGTATTGGGAATCACTGAAACATATTGAACACAAACTGAACAGCAAAGGTTAGATACAGGAGAGTTACGACTATACTCCGGTCACAAAGAGGACAATACTCTACACACTTAAGAAGTTGCTCTAATGCTATCGAATGAAACACGAAATTCACTTGTAGGTAAGTAAGCACATACTACAAAATTGTTAAAAAAAAAACAATAAATTACTCGTTAATATTTAATCATAATAGATAGTTCTTGATATATAGTTTTTAATGAACTTACCTAGCTGAAGGTGCTCAGTGATTTATCCGCACCAAATCACGAGTGGGAACACCATGCTCAACATCTCCTGCAATTGCTAGCCAGATAGGATCAGTTGATCCTCAATATATTGATAACCTATCAAGTATATTATCAAACCTCCTCGCTTCAATCGTTTGATTCCACTTGGTAGGTGCAATTCATAGTAGAATGTGTTACTGTATTGGTTAAGGTGTCGTTAAACTCCAAATAGCTGTGGTATCTTCAGTTTTCCATATCTACAGATAAATATGCATTGATTTATTCAGATGGATATGCAGTGGTTATCAGTTTCAACTTCAGAAGTTAACAATGTCTATTATTCATTATGTTATATTTCAGTTTGAATAGAATAGTAAGTAGTTGACTAGGTTAAGCAAAAGTCTAAGGAACGACCATGATCAGTGGTGGGCACAAAGCCAAATAGATGGTAAAGGTGGCGACTGTAGGTAACAGAAGACAGCTCTACAGACTAATAAAAGAAACTGGAATTAATAAGTCAAGTGTAAGTGAGACTATTTCGGGAAAAGACGACGCTCTTATCTGCTCCCAGTCCAGACGTTTGAACGATGGGGAGAACATTTTAGGGAGCACTTCAGCTACTCTACAAATACACACCATTCCCAGATAGCGTGAATAGAACATTGAAGTAGGTCCCCTGACTGTAGCTGAAGTTCAAAAGGCTATAGTTAATCTGAAACGAGTTAGGGCAGCTGGTCAAGATGGATTGGCTCCAAATGTCTTTAAGGATGGTGGTCCAGTTTTGGCGATTAGGTTAAAATGTATAATAGTTTTAAACTGAAATCTGGGAGTTGGACGTAATCCCACCTGACTGGTCAGTCAGTCAGTAACAACGTGGAACTTCGTACGTACGTACACCAGTTCTAGTTGCCATAGCACATTAGCACAGAGATTCAGTTATTGATTGAAATCCCACAGTGTTAGAGGTAGTGAAGATATAAGTAGTGATAGGGAACATTAGGGTTTGATGATGTTATTTAAGGAGTGTAATCCAGTGGAATAGATTTGGAAAGAAAATAAAGGACATGAAGAATTCAGAAGATTAGAGTTTGAGAGAACACAGAGAGTGGATGCACGTGCGCCATTGCAAACGATTTTGAACCATGTCATTCAAGGTCTCTAACCATCGGTTGCGCACTGCTGAGTAGTCCCATTCTAGGACGAAATGGCCGTCCAGTACTTCCAGGTTTTGCATGGTTGTCTAGCTTCAATTGACTTATGATTTCAACCAGTGAGATTAAATATTTATTTGGAGTCTTGTGTTCACATGACAAGTTGCTTACTTCTAGTAATATTTCTTAGTTTCAGTTGATAAGACTATGTAGTGGCTTTGCGTCGTTAATCAATCACCTCGGTGGTCGTTATAATATAAATCTCAATGATGTTTGAAATCAGAAGGCAATAAGTAGTGGCAACTACAGTTTATTAAAGGATGGCGCAGATCAAAAAGCTATAAGCGCATCGAGCGAATTCGAAGCGGAGAGCGAAATATGTATATACTAGCAATTACATAGGCAAATTTATAGTCAAATTGCATAAGAGAGTAGCAAAGCAGAGCAAGGACTATTAAAAGAATTTGAGTACATATATACCTGGGGAGGAGGATGAATCATCGAGTCATATTTTTACGTGGAGTCTGTAATGTGCTCTGGTGGTCATAGAGGTACAAACAAATATGTGAATTGTTACTATTCAAATAACATTGCCTGTTGAGTTGGTAAAAGCGCTTAACCCAAATTAACCATAATCAAAATTGGTTGTAGGATAGTTGTTGTGACCAGAAAGCTAGAAGATTTTTGTCATACTGATATCTGTCTTCCAGTCTAATCAACTTGAATATATATATATATATATATATATATATATATATATATATATATATATATATATATATATATATATATATATATATATATATATATATATATATATATATATATATATATATATATAGGAACTGTCATTCATCACTCGTTATCTACTCGGAGTCAAAACTCAACATTAAACTGATAATCAGTTGTTACTAAGCTTATGAATAGTTTTCATGTATCTTGGTAAATTTGTTGTAATAATAATAATAATAGTAATGGTAATAATAATAGTGATGATAGTAATAATAACAATGGTAATGATAATAGTAGTAATGGTACCGGTAATAATAATAATAATAACAATAGTAGTGGTAATAATAATAGTAATGATGGTAATACTAACAATGGTAATGATAATAGTAGTAATGGTAACACTAATACTACTACTAATAATCAGAATATAATATGTTATATATTAACCAATGATTTCCCTTGATAAAAGTACATATTTACATAGACATAGATAGATATATAAATATTGATAGGCCTATTTTTTCATTCCTGTAATGAAACTATTTAAAATCATTTTATTTCAGTAATAAATTTATGTTTGAGAAAAAAAAATTTTCATAAAAAAAAAGGTGAAAGATTTTCTCTTTTGTTTTTCTTTATGAAACACTAATTTCTTAATTCAAATCAAAGTAAGTTACATATTGTATATGTATATGTATAGATATAGATATATTGAAGTAAATACATGTCTCTATCCGATATACATTAGCTCCACTGGTCATGGCTTCTTATTAGAACTATGAGAATTCCCTCATGAAGCTAGTCACTAGTGAGCATATAGTCATTATCCGTATAGGGGTTGTGGAGATTATTATGTTTTTAAATAAGATACTGAATCGATTGATGTCAGACAAACATTGAAAATCTAAAAGTATTACATGGCTAATTTATCCTATTGTGAGATTCCTCCGTAGTGTGTATCTACAATCCCATTCGCAGGATTCTTACCTAAAGTCTTCAGTTTTGTGTGAGAATACTCACATCTGCATCAGATCCACCGTGTTTATTGGTCATAGGATGAAGTATTACCTTTTCACAGTTCATATTATCACATTAATAGTTGATTAGTTAATATAACTGATTCCAATCACACTTGATTGTGAAACTCTGAAAGATGTAGAATCTTTTACGTACCTGGGAAGCATTATCGATGAACAAGGAGGATGAGATGTAGACGATAAGGCGAGGATTAACAAACCAAGGACAGTATTCATACAGTTGAACAACATATGAAACTCAACCACAACTGTCAACCAATATCAAAGTTAAAAAGCTTCAATAAGAACGTCAAGACAGTCAGTTCTACTGTACGGATATGAAACAAGGAGAACTACAACAACCACTATCAAGAAGGTGCAAATAGTTATAAATAGTTATCTACTCAAGATACTCAACATTCATTGGCCGGATGTCGTCAGCTGTGGAACAGAACAAACCAGTTTCCGGCTGAAGAGGAAATTAGGAAAAGACGATGGAGTTGATGGATAGGACATACATTACGCAAAGCATCAAACTGCATCACCAAACAAGCCCTAACTTGGAATCGTGAAGGGAAGCGGAATAGGAGGAAGGTCAATGAACACATTAAGTTGGGAAATAGAATCAGATATAAGAAAGTTAAATAACAACTGAAAAAGATTACCTAAGACAGGATTGGATGGAGAACTTGGCTGGGCAGCCTAAACTCCTCCACGAGGAGTAACAGGCATAACTAAATATATAATTGATTACAATTTCTACCACTACTATTACCAATCAAAAAAAGATATCCATCAAATATCTTTAAATTAAGGACAGTAATTTTTTTCTCATAGATACATACATTATTTAATCTTCATCATTTAATTTATTTTTTCTGAAAAAAAAATTTGTTCATTATTTATCAATCCATATCATATTTCTATTTATTATTACATAATCATAGAATCATTTATAACCAATCAATCAATCAATAACCAATCAATCAATCAATCAAAAATGGGATCCAATTCTAGTTTACCAAAACTATCAATAACAAATAATATTGATTTATTACAAATATATACAGAACATTCAATGAATATTAATTGTTTAACAATATATGAAAAAGATTTTATATTAGCAACTGGTTCAGATGATGGTATAATATGTATATGGAAATTGAATTCATTCAATATATGTCAATTAGAATGTATATATAAATTAAATGAACATAATGGTTATATCACTGAATTAATATTTCATAATGATTATTTAATATCATCATCATCAGATGGTACAATACGTAAATGGAATTTTAATATAGGAAAATGTGAATATGTAAGATTTGATATTGTTAGTGGTGGTGTTGTCCTTGTTGTTGTTGTTGTGGTGGTGGTGGTGGTGGTGTTGATGTTGTTCATCTTCATATTGTTGTTATGGTGGTGGTGGTGATATGTTACTTTTAATAGTTGAATTCATGAATCCATTAAAAGTAGTTCATCTCAGAAATGAGGATCCATGATCCTTTTCTCATGGGATTCGGACCTAGAATCTATTGGTCTCACATGTGAACATTGAGCATCTAGACCAATGATCTGGTATTCGATGGTGTTAATGGTTAACTTTAATCAATCCATAAAATTGCTCTACCATCCACCATTGACTGTGTTTTTGTGATTTTAAATGATTAACTATCTTAAAGAATAGATGAAATACACGATCACTTATGTAATACATTACTATATAATTGATACAATATAATGAATGTATGTCAAGTGTACATAAATGATTTAATAATATGAGAAGGGGTTTTGTGGAGATTGTGGTAATTTCAATGGATAAGATCATGAGTCAGTTGAAGCTAGACCACAACGGTGGAAAACCTGGAAGCACTGGACGGCCGTTTCGTCCTATTGTGGGAATCCTCATCAGTGCGCATCCACGACTTCGCCCCCTGCGAGATTCGAACCCAGGACCTACTGGCTTCGGGCTCGAATACTAAAATTAGATTATAAATTTAATAAATTTCGAATCTCGCGACGGGGGTGGAGTCGTGGATGCCCACTGCTGAGGAGTCCCGCAATAGGACGAAACCACCGTCCAGTGCTTCCAGGCCTTCCATGCTGGTCTAACTTCAACTGACTCATGATCTTCACTATTGAAATTACAAAAATAAATGTTAATGTTTTACAAGCTTTGAATTAACTGAAATAACGTTTCAAAAAATAGCTTTCGTAGTTTGTCATAACTTCTTGTTTCTCTGTTCAGATTATCAGTAATAACAGAATTCAATATATATTCCAATTGTCTTAAATACAATGTTGAAAATAGTTTTCACCATAGACTAATAATAATAATAATAATAATATGTATCGTAAAATTGAACTCCAGAAACAATACTTACTTACTTGCTTACTTACTCCTGTTACTCCCAATGGAGCATAAGCCGCCGACCAGCATTCTCCAGAAACAATACAACAACTTATCTATTCGATTAACAAGATTTTCAAGTAGGTAATAGTTTAAAATTTCTAGTAAGATTCAATTTAGAATAATGAATTCTAACAAGGAGCATGTTAATTTCAGATCATTAAACTAGGATCCAATAAAGTATATAGTTGAACTTATTCATTTTATGATTTACTTGAAAGATCATCCGATAACATCAATGAGTAGCTATCTCATATTTCAAATTCATTGATCAGATATTAATATGTCTACTACTATTATGTCATTACTATTTAGCTGCTATCAATCTTATAATGGATTATTGGATTAGACGCCCCCTAAATGCCCTGGTATGACTGAGAGTGGGGAGTGTCCGCTCTCCCTCTTCAAATGCTCTCACATGGCCATGCGTATATAGCCTCTACCAGGGAAGTAATACTCACTGCCTTCTCGTGGCGGGGGTGTTGTTTACAAAAATAAGGGGACGAAAAGCGAATATCCGGCGCTTTAACCGAATCCCAAATCAATGGTGCACATGGGCTCCAGTATCCTGCGGGAACAAATGGCGTATGAACCAATCGTTGGTCACCGGCTACCATGGGACTGCTTCTCCTCACGATGCTCCACTACCTTGTGGGTTAGACGTTTAGGTCAAAGGCTCGTGGTGTGGCCCCTTAAGAAAACCACCTGCTCCGGTTTGGGCATCTGTGCAGTATCACAGCCCTCACACATATCAAATAAGATTTGAGTGGCGCATATGTATTTAGTACCTTCTTGTATCAATATCTATGTGTTAAACTAAAATAAATAAATATGGATCAAACACAGAGACATAAAATTCAAGTTTGATTACATATTAAACTGACATTAACATGTGTAAATAAACTTATTGTTAGGTTTGAAGCTATCACGAGTTCACTTAATCTGTGAACGAGAACAAAGTCTCAGTGACCAAAGACCAATAATCTAGCTATTGATGCGTCCCAGCTCCTCTATCTAGAGGGAGAAGTTCAAGCTTAGAATGAGAAGTATATTCTGCAACAACCAGAAAATGACCGATCTCAACAAACACAATTTTAAAACGTATATGTACAAATTTATATGACCGATGTTGCTATGACGCTTTTAAACATTTAATCGATAAGTTCGTCAATCGACTATGTGCGTGGGTGATAAGAAATGCACACGCATACATCTGCACACAAGCTCCACTAAGATAAAATTACAAAATATTAGTTTTGGGCATCTATCGTCCCCAACACTTATATAAATTCACTTGGAATTATTTGTTTGAATCCTTCCATTGATATTTAGCACTGAAATTGATCAGTCACTTATTGGAATAGGTGTATACTGTGTGTATTGCCTTGACATAGCTTTAATTCACAAGTATTCTAAGCAAAGATGGATAGTGGCTAATAGTGGAATCGAGGACGCGTGTTTCGTCCTATTTGGGATTCGTCATCTGAATGTAATTGCATCTCAGAGTTAATGTTCTCTCTGTGACTCAAACTCAATACTGTTCGTATCAACTCTGAGATGCAGGTACATCCAGCTATGAAGCTATGAGAACTGAAATCCTGATATTTGTTGTTTTTTTTCAGTTTTTTGATGAGAATATATGAAATGTAATGTATTTTAGATGAAGATGTTCAAATTTTTGTCCACCATTAGATTTTATGTGATCAGCTAAGTCATTTATAATGATTCATTAAAGCGAATAAAGGTTACATAATACATACATACAACATATCTAAAATTGAACAACATTTGGAACTCAAAACAACTGTACTGTATGAGGCGGAAACTTGGAAAACTACCACAATCATCATCCAGAAGATACAGGTGTTTATTAATAGTTGTCTACACAAAATACTTCAAATCTGTTGATCAGACACTATCAGCAACAATCTACTATGGAAAAGAACAAACCATATCTAAGTGGAGGAAGAAATCAAGAAGAAGTGTTGGAATTGGATAGGACACACATTGAGGAAAGCACCGAACTGCGTCACAAGACAAGCCCTCACATGAAATCCTCAAGACCGAGAAACGAAAACAGATATGAGAAGAATGAACAACAACTGGATAGACGTAGAAAGGAAGGTCGAGGACAGAGTATGTTGGAGAATACTGGTTGGCGACCTATGCTCTGTTGGGAGTAACAGGCGTAAGTAAGTAAGTAAGTAAGACCACATTAAATTAGTGTTATCTTGTTACTATGCCTTTTTTCATTGTCAACTATAGTGCATATCTACTATTTTCTGTTTAATCGAAAGTTTTTTTCTCAATCTTTCAATAGCAGATATACACAACTTAATGAAATGGGAAAAAAACGCATATTATTCCGCTTCATTTAGTGTATTTTACTAATTCAAATGGATAAAGAGGAGGGAAAAAGAACTTTTGTGTGTGTGTGTCTGTGTGTGTGTGTGCGTTAAAAAGAACAACAAATAAAACAACAAACAACAAAAGTCTCCTCTTCTCTATTCGTGACAAAATGAAGTGACTAGATTAGAAATGGAAAATATCTCTATTAGACTAGACATTAATGGGGTAGTATTTGTTGTTTTAGGAAACATCTGTTAGTCATTTTCTACTGAATAGTATAGTTACAAATACTAAAATGATATTCTGGTTACTGACTTACTTGCTTACGTACGTCTATTACTCCCAATAGAGTATAGGCCTCCGACCAGCATTCTCCAACCGATTATGTCCTAGGCCTTCCTTTCCAGTTCTGTCCATATTTTGTTCATTATTTTTGGTCAGTCAGTCAGTCAGTCAGTAAGTCAGTAAGTCAGTTAGTAACAATGTGAAACTAAGAATTTCCATACAAGGATAAAAAGGCCAACCAGTGCTTCCAGGTTTTCTATGATAGTCTAGCTTCAATTGACTCATGTATTCAATTATTAAATTACTACAATCTCCACAGTGACTGTCTCCAAGAGTTATTTCATGGAGTTCTCAGTCAGTCAGTCAGTTAGTCAGTTAGTCAGTCAGTCAGTCAGTCAGTCAGTCAGTCAGTCAGTCGGTCAGTCAGTAACAACGTGGAACTTCGTACGTAGGTATATCAGTTCGAGTTTCCATACCATATTAGCACAGAGATTCATTTATCGATTCAAATCCCATAGTGGTAGAGGTAGCGAAAGTATAAGTTGTGATAGGGAACATTAGGGTTTATTTGGTAGGTAAAATTCAAATCAATTTTATGATTGATTATTACATGATAAACAAAGATAGATAATGGTGAACAATGGAATAAAGAATGTCTATTTTATCCTATTTAGGAATCGTCAGCTGAATCTACCTGTATTTCAGAGTTGGGACTCGAACTCACGTTATCTACTTAGCTATTGAATGCAGATAGTCACTAGCTTATGGGATGAGGTGAGTATTAATTCCTTTTTTATCGGTTGTTTGAATCTTCATATTGATGTTTAAGACTGGAATTAATCACTCTCTGGGATCCAGATACATCCAGCTGGTGGATCGTAAATAGGACGAAACAGGCATTCTGGATTGTACTGCTAGCCACTATCCATCTTTGCATATAGATGAGCTTTTTTATTTATTTAAAAGAAATCATCTCAGTCTATTTTACTCTAGTTGTACAGTCACTTGACATTTCACATTTTGTTCTATTCAATTACCTGTAAACTATTTTGTTCGATTGATCTCTAATTGTTTGACGCTTTTTTATCAGTATAGGGTTGTGGAGATTGTTAAGTTTATGATTGAGATCATGAACCAATTGATGTTAGACCACCATTGAAGACCTGGAAGCACTGGATGGCGGTTTCGTCCTATTGTCGGACTCCTCAAGCAGTGCGCATTCACGACCCCACTTGGGGGATTGGAGTCCATGGCCTTCCGTCTCGCGCGCAAATATTAACTTACTAGACCACTGAGCCAGCATCCAATGCCTGATCTCAACCAATCCACGAAGTT